GTGGGTGGTGGGTGGTGGGTGGTGGTTGTGGTTGTGGTGGTGGTGGTGGTGGTGGTTGTGGTGGTGGTGGTGGTGTTGGTGGTGGTGGTGGTGGGGGTGACGATGATGATGCTCACGATGATGATTATGACTATGCGGATATGGAGGACGATGATGATGTCATCATCATGATGACACAATGAAAGCGCGATGCCGATGATGACAATGACGATGGTGATGGCGATGATGGCCATGGCGCTAGCTGTGACACCGGTGATGATGGAGGTGCTTAAACTGCTGATGCCTGTGTTCCTGCGTGCTTCTTTCTGCTGATGCTGACGCTGCTGTGGGCACCCGTTTCTGGTGCTGGCACGGGTCATTGTTGGCGCAGGGGTGATGCTATTGTTGTTTTTGTGATGATCACGGTGATGCAAGTGAGTACAAGTTCAACTAGTGTCGAGGCTACAACTTACCACGCAAACATGTATGGAAGTGCACCCGAACGTATTTGCGCAAAGACGACGCAAACATCCCATGCTCTTCTTCAACATTCAAAAGTTGGCTGTTGGCTGTTCAAGAGAACCATGGACACAAGGAGAAAGTTATTGATCCTGGAGGATATGCAAGACAGCAAGTATGCTACGAAAATGGATAGCTCAAGGCCACCCAGATGCTTGGCACACCTTTTTCTTCAAGTGCCACGAGAGGAAAACCACAGGCAATACACAGGCAAGGCACTCCACAGCCCAGATCTTGGACCTCAGTTTTAGGGCTGGGGAGATACTATAGGGGCCTTCATGATTAGAGTAGGGTGTGGGGATATTTGATATGATAAATATAACAAGGAACCCGCAAAATGATATAGGTAACCCTACATTGCCGGATTTCAGGACTTGGGGTTTTGGCTATTTGAGAGCTGCTGGCCTGGAGACCGCACGCCTTAGCTAAGCAGGCGTTTGCACGACCCTTCGGATGTCTGTGACGGACACGGGCGCCAAACACCCTCAGCTCCTAAGCACACATACACATCACCTGGGATGAGCAACTGCCTTTACGAGACTATATAAGGGGTATATAAGGGTTATATGGGGTATTTGGATTAGGGGTCCCTTCTAGGGGTCCCTCCTATCCGCCATCTCATACATCCCAAAGGGACAGCCAGCAAATCAGCCTGGATCTTCAGTAACACGGTCAGGGAGACTACTTTGTGCATCACTTGCTGCACCCCTGACAGGTCGACCCCCGGAGAAGCAAACTCCATGGAGGCCACATATGGGAGATTCCGAAAATAAGGGTACCTTATTTAAGGGTCCTTATAATAAGGATCCTACTATTTAGGGTAGCATATCAGGGTCCCTTTGGGAAACACCCATATTATGCTGACATGAAGAGCATCACAAGAAGGGTCTCCGGAGGCCCACCAATTCCATCCAACACAACCAGAAATCGATTCGCCTATGCCCGAAAGGACGATCCGCCGCCGCCTCTTGCAGCCGTCAAATTCCGAGCGAAGATATCTTCAGTGGTCTGCGACCAATCCCTGATGTCAAACTCCCCTCGATGGAAGCTGCTGCAGTATTGCACAGAAGGCGAGTCGCATCTTGCAGTAAATCCTACACCCTGAGTGTCACAGCCGACCGCAGCAGCTTAGGGCGACATCAGATCGGTATCTTTGCCGGCTTGGCTCAGAAGAAAGTCCTCAACATCCTGGCCTTGGTCATCTTCAAAAACGGGTGGGCTCACGAAGGCTACATGACGGCAGTGAGGTGATTGCAGTCATGACTTGATGGCTAGGGTGACGAGAATGAGTTGATGATGAAGATGATCAAGGTCGGGGTGGTGGTGGTGGTTGTGGTGGTTGCAGGACAAGGCTTCCGCCAAACATTCTGTGGGCACAAGACGAGTCCGGAAAGTTTCGGCTGCTGGCTGCTGCGGGCACTGCACGTTTGCGACTCTTCTGCCCAGCTGCACTTCAGGTACTTGCAGAAGAAGGGATGATTCTTGACCTCGCACAAGCACCACGGTCCCTGTGTCCGGTCAACTCGAAAGCTTTCGAAGTCATGGGCCAAAGATTCTGGAAGTAGACCTATCCGTAGGCAGAACAAGATGCCTACAGCACTCCTCATGGCCCAGGAAAGCTTCTGATTCTGGCAGTCCACACGGCCATTGAATAAGTTGCAGCAAGTTCCCGCTGAGCCCATACACACACACACATGCACATGCATGCAAGCATGCAGACAGACAGATACGGCTACGTCTGTGTGCATGTTCTAGCCATTAGTCCGCTTACACCTAAGTTTCTCATGTTAGGATCACTGCTACAACCCTAAACCCTAAACCCTAAACCCTAAACCCTAAACCCTAAACTGAGCCTCCGGGTCCGTCAGCTCCGCCCGCCGCGGCTGCGAGAAGGGCAAGAGCTTCTCAACCAAGAGGTTCTCACCCTGACATGAGCGGGGTTCTTCTTGGAGGTTTCAGGTTTAGGGTTGAGGGTTTAGGGTTTAGGGTTTCGGGTTTCGGGTTTCGGGTTTAGGGGTTAGGGCTGGGAGTTTACTTTAAGCTACTAGGGAAACCCATGATCCGAGAGGGGAGCTCCAGGAAGACGGGTGATCCTAGCATAGGCCCCTAAACAGCAGGATCCTCATTATCCGGACCCCGGAAAGAACAGGACGCACTGATTTCAAACGAACTCCCAGAAGGCGTTGCTGCAAGTGTATTGCAGTATGCCGTACAGCTTGTTTTTGTATCGTGTAGCGCATGTGTAATGTAGCATGGTATAGCCTGGCTCAGTCTAGTATTTGGGCTTCAGTGCGGCACGGTGCAGTGTATCACAAAGTGATCGGCCAATTTTGGCCTGGTAGGGCAGTGTCAGTTGCGTAAAATGGGTAGTTCTCTAAATTAGGGTCCCTTTTAGCCTCCTAGGCTCCCTTTTATACGGACTTTATTGTAACTTAGAAAACTACCCGGCGCTGGAGGGCGGGAACTGTTCGGCGATCGGGGTCTCGCAGGTGGGGAAGGGCATGAAGGGAAAATCCTGCAAAAAACCGAAGATCCGAAATCGTCCGAAACTCCCTAAACCCTAAACCCTAAACCCTAAACCCCAAATCTCAAACCCTGGAATCTTCAAATTTTCTGGGCCTCGGGGCAGAGCCTCCCTGCTTCGCGCAGTTGCTGCAAGAGCTCTGCATTCTCCGTCTGAGGCCATTGAGATTTCGGGCTCTATGTAGATAGTTTTTGTGGGGTCAGACTGAGAGGAATGACAGTAACTAGTCATTCCGAGAACTCCGCATGACTAGGCCTGTGCTTGGCCTGCCTGGGGTGCCTGAGCACTTGGAACGAGTAAGTCCGTGGGTTCCCCTGGTCACGTGGGATGCAGGCTTCAGGTCAGAGGCCCCTTGGGAAGCCAGGCTACTTGCGTGCTTCGGTCTAGTAGTCGTGTGCGTCGTAGCGGTAATGCTACGCCTACAGTGACGGCCACGACGAGGCCGACACGTCGTGTGCAGTGCTGGTCATACCCCTGTTGTTTGCCGTTGCCGCTGCTGCTCCTCGTCCTACTACGACGACGACGGCGACGACGAGTATTTCACTGCCAGGGCTCACTGCAACGACGACATCGCGCACCCGAAGTCTTCAAGCCTTGGAGTTCCACCTCCCCCCCCGGCACCTCAGATAGAACCAGCTGCAACCTCTGCTTTCAAGGTTTGCAAAAGTGTGAAGCTCAGCTTCAGAGCGCATTGCGCTCTTGGCCTTGCCCTGAACCCTACGACCCTCGAAGTCGTGTCTGCCAGGTCTTTGGACCCATACAGCCCCACCAATCCTCCCAAAAAAGAAACTCAAAATTTCGAGAATTCCCCCCCCCCCCGAGAGGATGCCTCGCTGAGATGTAGTGGGAGCCTTGGGACGTCCGGGGCATTTGGGGGCTGCTTTTCTTGCTTTTCTCGGCTCGTTTCCTTCCGGCTGCAGTCGGAAGGCCCTTTCGGGTTCAGGATTTAGGCTTTCGGATGTACGACCCCTTCCACCCAAAACTCAGAAGATTTCAGTTCCCCAGAACCTGCAGAATCGGAAGCCGCCTATAGCTGAGATGACTCCAAGACTGCAAAGCTCAGAGGCACCAGATTCCTGAAATCAGCTCCGAAAGACTCGAGATTGAGACCATCCAGAAGCGACACGCGAGCTCTTGGCTTGGAAGAACCAAATACCAAGACACCGAAAGAGATGGGAACTGTTTAGTCGAGATACAACTTGCGTAACTGCCGGGTTGGGAGCCAAGGGTACAGGCAGTACGGGCTGGCAGTTTGGGATTCCCTAAACCCTAACCCCTAAACTGCCTAAACTGCCTAAACCCTAGACCACTACACCTCTGTTCAGGGTCTCTGGCTCCAAACTGATGGCCTGGCCAAGGAGGCTGTGAAAAGTTTGAGGTGAAGTAATAGAAGGACCTTCTGGGTATAGAGATTGCAGTGAATTTGACCCTAAACCCTAAACCCTAAACCCTAAACCCTCCACCCCAAACCCTAAACCCTAAACCCTAAACCCTAAACCCTCCACCCCAAACCCTAAACTCTAAACTCTCTGACTTGGGAGTGGGGCTCCGGGGCTCGCTTCCGAGCTCCCCGCATCATCGGCCCCTTCCGCTTCACGGTCTTCTTCCGCGCGCCATCCTGAAAGACTCCAAACAGCAGACAGCTGCTTAGGGTTTAGGGTTTAGGGTGTAGGGGTTTGGGGTTTAGGGCTTAGGGTGTCGGGATTAGGGTTTAGGGTTTAGGGCTTAGGGATGTTTAGGGTGTAGGGGTTAGGGTTTAGGGTTTCAGGTTTGGGGTGTAGGGATTAGGGTTTAGGGTTCTACGCCGGCCCTGGCCTCCCCGAGCAGAGTGACTTGCATTGTGACGCCGAAGGAGTACCTGGCGAGCGTGAAAGACGTCTGCACTCGTGGCAACTGCCGTTGAATCATGGAGGCGGCAGGTCACGCATCTGTTTTGAAGGGGTTGAAGACCTCACTGTCCACGCCTGCAAAAGCAGGAAACGCTCGGTCTCAGTCCTTAGGCTACTGAGCTATCGGATGCCGCCTGATGCATCGGAGCTCATCAGCGAAGCTGTCGAGAGGACGGCCTTAGCACGCGGTGGCAGCAGAGCCACAGGGGACAATCTTTAGCTCAGCTGCATCCAGGAAGCGCGACCTGTCCGCCTGCAAGAGCCCGTCCATTCCGAGATCCAGGCACCGACCCCTGTCAGCTCCGGTGAGAGGAAGCCCATCGTTCCACACATCGTCATCCTGCACTTGCTGAAGACTTCGTGAAGCCACGAAAGTCCGACGGCCCCACGTATCCCAAGGTTCCAGAAACCTGAACCCAATGTGGCCAAACCGAAGGCAAGGTCCTCTCTGCAGATGTCACCACCTGCACCGGAGGCTTTTTGGGGGTTCACGGACCTATGCTTACGAAGAAGAGCGCGAGGCGGAAGGAGTGAAAATTCGATCTCAACCTGGCTCTGACCAGATCTTGACCGGCGCCCCCCCTGGGCCCGGATCAACCTGATATAAGGGCCTCAACAATTAGGCTAGGGTTTCGGGGTTTCTTATACCAAAATCCTAATAAGGAACCCCCCCCAAAATAGTCTTGGTACTTATTTAGGCCCCTATATAAAAAAATATTGATCCCCACCTTCGCGAGCCCGAAGTCCGTCAACTTGGCCTGGCCAAGATGTTCGCGGATGCCCCCCACTTGGAGGTCCATGGGTAGTTATAAGTAGGGTTATAAGTCCCCTAATATGGGTTATAAGTATAGTTACCCTACTTATAACCCCACTTATAACTACCCATGAACCTCCAAGCACCAGAACCGAACTGTTGGCTTCGTTTGAGACTGGATGTGGGTGAGGTTCCGCACAACAGCCCTGAAGATGAGCATGAAGAGTGTTATGATGGACCGCAGCTCAGTCCTCGTTCAATGTGCTGACGAGTATGTTCTCTGGCTTGACGTCCCGATACCTGCTGCCAGACAAGGAGGATGAAGGCCCTGCTTTGAGAAACGTGAGCCAAGAAGCAGTGTGCCAGGTTTGCGAGCTGAAGGGTGGCACGGCCAGGAAAGGCTACGAGGTGGCTGAGCATGTGACACGATCTTGTTCTCGTGAAGGTAGGCCAGTGCCAACATCACCTGAATGGGCAACTCACGCAAGACTCGTGCGTTTCGACAAGGATTTATAGTTATCAGGCTGATGACGAAGGTTGAGGATGAGGATGTGGAGGATGAGGAGGAAATGAGGAGAAGGAGACGGAAGAGGATATTGGGACGGTGATGATGTTCGGAAACAGCAGGGAGATGACGGATGCTAAACATAGAGAAGAAAAGGATGCAGACGAGTAACACTTGTATCTAAAACTCGGCACAAGTGCCATGGTATGCTACTACATCATAACATAGTGCATCACCATATCATACAGTGGATACGCATGAGTGCGCATGCGTGCATGTCGAGCGGGTAAAAAGCAGCGAGGTGAGGAGTTAGCAAAGTAGGCAGGCAGTCGGTCGTTCGGTCTGCAAGACAAACACGCATGCATGCATGCATGTATGCATGCATGCATGCAGTTTGTATATACTGATACACACATGCAGGAGTGCTTCAGCAAGCATGACATCAGTATGTGATTCATCAGTATGTGACAAACACACGTGAGTGTGTGGGTGCACGTGTCTGTGCGCTCGCGTCTGGGTCTCTCTGCGACTCTCTCCCCCCATCCCCCTCTGCGTATCTGTATCCGTATATGTGCGTCGTGTGTCTGGCATCTTTCATCGCAGAAATAGGCAGAAGCCTGCGAGCAGTACTGCAAAAAAGGCGATATGCAAACAGCAACAGCCACACAACTACTGCGAGTTGTAACACACTGAAACTACGGATACAACCATAACAACATTAATGAGAAGAGTTAGAAGAAGCTTAGTCATAACTGCACTGCAAGTGCAACGAAAGCAATCTTGCTGTTCTACCTACAGCTGCACCAACAACGTCAAGAATGATGACACACTAACATGAGTAGTAACAGCAAAAGGCATGGTAACAATCCAAAGGTGATGATGCGCGACATTTGTAATGATGATAATGACGACACGGAAACTTGGATCAAACCATTTGGAATAGCACGGCAATAATGACGTTGATATACGGGTCATCAAAAAACAACTCAAAACGGTGCAGATCAGAAACAGAAACAAACACACACACACACACACACACGAGCAACAACCAGAAGAACGGTCCTAACAACCACAACCACAACAACAAGCATACAATGTAAAGAAAATAACAAATCAAAGCTGCAAGACGAATCATGACAGTAGATAGAGGACAATGTTGATACGCTGTACAGTCATAGCGGTTCAAATCTCACTACTGCCAGTGTCAATATGGTAGCGTCGAAAGCAAAGGTGACGATAACCAAACCGACACTGAACATGCGACTGGTCATGAGCATGGGAACGAGAGCACTAGCCGTAACAACAACAAGAGAGATGGTGATTATTGGTATTACAAAGATGAAGCTGCTCGACAAAAAAGACAGGCGGATGGCCTGGCCCATGTACCGTGCCGCCAGATCTGGAGCGAGGCCAAGACACCTGGCAGGGTGGCCCGAGAGAGGACTTGGTGCTTTCGGCAGGTTGGAGGTCTTTCGGTGTTTCAAGGTGGCGGTTACCACAACAACACGACTAGTATAGCTCAATGACAGTAGTAGCGTCATTACTATCAATGCTTCTGATCCGTGCAACCAAGTAGTCGAGCTTCTATTTAGCGCTTGACAAAACGACTTCAGGCTGGCCCTTTGGCGCATTTGAGGCGGGGCGCAAGTTGGGCGATGCAGTGGCCAGCTCTCGAGTCTGCATTGCTGCTTTTTCATACCCGTGGTCTACCATCCCTACTCAAGAGCCTCCCGCCCTCTTCCGCTGGCTCGCACAGCCTTAGTTGCTTGCCGGTATCATCCTATCCTGATGTTGCACACGTCCACTCGGCCCCGCGGCATGCGGTTGAGGTCGGTAGGGCAAAGCTCCAGGAGCAGCGCCAGGTACTTGTTAAAGGCGAACCTTGGTCTGCATAGGTGTTTGAAACCGAAGGGAGGACCGGGGATAGGCTTGCTGACAAAACCTTCCGAGCAGGGAATCAGAAATCGGAAAAGCCCGTATCTCCCCTTTAAGCTGGGGACCGAAGGCAGCGAAGCTCTAGCTGGACTGGCTTCTCTGCTACATACCCCTGTGATGCTGAACTGCATGGTGCACCTACCCGTTCTGTTGTCAGGTTTAGTGAACTCCTTAGTGCTCCTATTCGTGTATGTGTGTGTGTATATATATATATGTTTATATTTCCTTATTCATTTATATAAAACTGTATAGACATATATGCAATAT